CAAATCATTTCATTCGCATTAATCATTCATTCAGTGAGTGAGTACAAAGAACATTTATTAATTATTGGAATTAAAAAAGCAAAGCAAGTTCACAAATCAAGAACATTAATACTTATTTACCATTACTATCACGTAATACCATTCAAATCATTTCATTCGCATTAATCATTCATTCAGTGAGTGAGTACAAAGAACATTTATTAATTATTGGAATTAAAAACAGCAAAGCAAGTTCACAAATCAAGAACATAAATACATATTTACCATTACAATTATGTAATACCTTTGAAATCATTTCATTCGCATTAATCATTCATTCAGTGAGTGAGTACAAAGAACATTTATTAATTATTGGAATTAAAAACAGTAAAGTAAATTCACAATTCAAGAACATTAACACTTATTTACCATACTATTATGTAATACCCTTCAAATAATTTCATTCGCATTAATTTAGTCGGTGAGTATAGAGAACATTTATTAATCATTGGAATTAAAAACAGCAAAGCAAGTCACAAATCAAGAACATAAATACATATTTACCATTACTATTATGCAATACTCTTCAAATCATTTCACTCGCATTAATCATTCATTCAGCTCGTGAGTATAATAACATTTATTAATCATTGGAATTAAAAACAGCAAAGCAAGCCCTATAAAAAATGTTCCAGAAGTATTCCGAATTTCTTATTCCAGAAATGTCCAGAGAATCACCCTATTTTTTTTCAAGTTATATTCAAAAAAAATTCAGGTTTTTTTAAAAAGTCGCCAGATAATAATCATGCTGCATTCCAGAAAATGGGCAGTTTCCGGAATGATTATTAACGATAATATTCCAAAAACATTCCGGATAATTGCCTACTATTGTCTATATAAGTCTGGCAAACTTACGAGTCATTTCACGATCATTTACGTATGAGATAAAACCGATAATTGGAATGAAGCAGGAATATATTTTACTAGTAATCGGGTTATGGCCAATAATAGGATTACATATTAGGAAGATAATCAGAACATTTTACATATTAGGATGATAATTGGGATATTTTACATATTAGGAAGATAATCGGAATATTGAATGATTATCCCATGTATAAAATAAATTGAATAGCCGGGTTATTTTATTTAATATATATATATTGCATATAAATAGGCAAATAAATAAATACAGAGATTGTGCATACTATATAAGTGCATACTATATAATAAATAAAGCAATTTGCAAGGCATACTCCAGCATTTTACACACTGTGAACCTATTTGGTATTCTTTGTTTTGACCCGTTTCTTGGAAGCTTTTTTAGTATTCGCTCTAGTTCTTTTTTTTCCTACACGTTAAATGAAAGTATTATTATAAATTGAACATATTAAGATATAAGAAAAGAGATGTTATAAGAGGTGAAGACAAAGTAGTAAATCGAATATTTTATGATCGTATGAGATTTAATTCATTGTATTATTATTACTTTCACAAATATATTATAAGTTTATTATATAAATACATACTAATATTATTTCCATTCTGCTCCACAGGAGATAATGGTAGATCAAACAATTGAGTATCATCAGTTTCAACTCTATTGGAACTTGCTGACGATCGGGTTGAAATTTTTGAAGATCTTGTTTCAACTCTATTGGAACTTGCTGATGATCGGGTTGAAATTTTTGAAGATCTTGTTCTCATTGCGCAAGAGGTAGTGATAGGTGATTCGGATACGTCATTATCATTGTTAATTGTAAAACGATCGACCCCAACTGCTTTTGAATTTGCTGATAACCGGGCTGGATTAGTAAAGGAGTTATGGTAGAAAATTCAGATGTATCAGAATCATCAACATCTGTCATATTGGAACTTGTTGCTGATAACCAAGTTGGAATTCTTGAAGGTGTTGATAATTTAATTGTACGAGAGGTAACAGCAGATAATTCAGATGCATCATTACAATTTCTAGCTTCAGAACTATCAACCTCAATTGCTTTAGAACTTGTTGCCGATAACTGGGCTGGAACTTTTGAAAACCTTGAAACTCTCATTGTGCGAGACGTAGCGGTAGATGATTCAGATGCATTGTCATCACTGTCAAGTTCGAAATTTCTAGCTTTAATTGAATTGAAACTTGTGCAGACGATCGGACTGGAATTCTTGAAGGTATTGAGGACCTCATTGTATGAGGAGTAATGGTAGGTAATTTAAGAATATCGGTATTATTGTAAGTAATACTATTGTGATTTGGAAAATCATTTTCATTATATGCAATTAATGAGGCATCAAACTCATCATCAACTTCGGCTATATCAGAATTTGTTTCTGATAGTTGGACTGTAGTTTTCTTAACTCTTGAGGTAGGAGGGACGGTATTTTTACGTTTTGGAGGAGGTTCGATACCTTGAGCACATGCTTCCTTTATCTTATTTTTACGTTCAGTTTCTACTACAAATTATTCTAATCTTAATACAGTATCTTTAATATGATATTATCATGTTAGAATGAAATATAATACTTTACCCCAATTACTAATTATATTTTCGGATATTTTTTGCAAAACGAAATCTCCAACAGAAATTGGAAAAGTCAGAAAATCACATTTAAACTAAATATATACGTTATTATTAGCGTTAGTTTTACAATAAAAAAAAATTATAGTAAATATGCATGCACGTACATCATTAATAATTTTCTGAACTATGCGATGCATATTTGCCTTTCTGGCAACTGGCTGCTAACCTGTCATGCAAATTTCTCTACATATAATAAACATACAATAGTAATTACAGAATTATCGACAATTTATTTAAAAAATAAAGGTATATAGTACTAAGACTTGCCCTATATATCCAGTAAGTATCATGAGGCAAACGGAGAAAGTCTTTCCAATCTTCTTCCAGTTGTTTAGTATTTTTCCATTATTTCCACTCTTCCTTAGTAATGGGATTTTGTGCAGACCCCCGTGGTAACTAAAATAATTAAACTTTTGTAAAAATTTATTAAAATTTTAAAAATAAATAATAAGATGTTACCAATGAATTAACAACTCCTATGATAGCGTTTGATAATGCTGGAGGGGTTTGTATAAACTCATGAGAGGTTGGTGCCGCAATAAGTTGTGAATTTTGTATAATAGCTGAAAGTGCTTGCTGTAAAATAGTTGGGTTCGATAATAACTGAAGAAATAACGAAATATTTTGACTTGTTTCCGTATTTACATTATTGTTATTACATTCGTTGTTAGAATGATTATTCGTATTACTTGTGTTAAGACTGGACATTTTGTGTAAGAAAACAAATAAGTTGAGAGTTTAGACGTAATTATTATAAAAAGAAAAAGTTATTTGTTTTTGTAAAAGAAAAAATTTATTTTTTAAAAAATAAAATTAACAGTATTTATAGTCAGTGATTAAATGATTGTCGTCAAAGGAAAACCTGCCATCAGGCTTTCAATTATATTTTATACCAGACATAATTACTAATAAATCAAATATATTTAGTTCAGCACAAAATAAAATTGAAAGCCCAATATCAGATTTCCTTGACAGCACTCAAATGATCGATTGCATGATATATGGTCATTTATATACGTTACTTCAATTAACTTTATAATTGCTTGTATCTTACGATTTCAAATACAACAATGAAAAGACAAGTATTATGTGCCTGCACATTTTGTCAAACTACATCTAATAACGTTGGGAAATATGTAAGCACCTCTACTCGAACGAGACATCGATGACAGGAAAAAGACTTTAAAGATATATCTACTATTACTCCACTAAAAAATACGCAAAACCTAAATATATACAATAATATTGTGCAATCTTATAACCCAGAAATACAAAATATCAATTTTAATTCTTCATCTTCCGCTTCAATAAACCTCTCAACATCAGTTTTAAATTTGTCTGAAAATTACTTGGAGTTGGGTAATTTTGAAAAGAATAGATTGGGATTGGATGATTTTGAAGATATGAAAAATCATGAGTCGTCATTTTTTGTAGCTTCTGATGCTTTAGAAAATAATGATTTATTGGAATTCGAATCTGAATTAGAAAAGGACGAACAAGTCGAGCTAGTAGAACAAGAATTCGAATTAGAGGAGCAACAATCTGAACTAGATGAAGAATTTGATAATAATATCAGTAAATCTCATATTTCCGTAATAAAACAATTAATTAGTCGTGTTTGATCAATCAAATTAAAAATTTAAAAAATTTTTAATTTTATTGGCTTAAAACCTATTGCGTTCAATACTCTCTAAGTGCACGTTTTCTAAGTATAACTTGTAAAATGCAAGTTTTTTTTTGATCTCAAGTATACAGATAATATAGATTTCATGTTCTCTATAACTTCTTTTTAAATGCAAGATTGTATTTTTTTTATATTGTATATTTAATGCACCATTAACTTGCACTTAGAGAGAATCAACTGTAGTATGTATATAGTCGCACTCCCATATAATCACACCAACGGGACCTACAAATGTGTTCTTATATAGAAAATATGCTTATATAGAGAACTATTTTTATATATTTAATAGTAGTTGGTTCAAAACATTAATGTGCTTATATAGGAGGCGAGTGTGACTGTATTATATTTATTTTAATATTTAACATTAATAATTTTTTTATTCTTTATTTAAGACTTGTCAGATGATTTAGTTCAAGGGCTTTGCCTTCTATATGTTAAAACCAAATATTCGTTGCCAGACCAAGTGTTTAATGAAATTATGAAGATATTCAAAATTTCAGAGGTTTCTCTTTATAAACTTTGAAAAGCTTTTAAAACTTTGATCCCACTTGAGCCAAAGCTTGTGGATATGTGCTGGAATTCTTGTTGCGCATTCAGTAAAAAAAATATTAATTGCGAAATGTGTCCTATTTGTGGAGAATCACGATATGTGTCTGGACAAACACCAGAAAAAGCTCAAAAATCAGCTACGTACTTTTCTATAATCGATAGCTTACGAATACAATACAAAGATCTATTACATGCAAAAATTCTCCGATATCAACATGAATACATATCAAGAGAAGATTATAGATCTGAAAGTAGTGTAATTGGAGATGTTTTTGATGGCAACTGATATAAATTTTTAGTTGCATCGGGCCTATTTACAGATCCTCGCAATATTGCTTTAATTGCATCTACGGACGGTTTTCAATTATTTAAAAAAAAACAAAGTGATTGCTAGGTAATTTTACTTATAAATGCGAACCTACCTCCAGATCAGAGAATAAAGAAAGAAAATTTGATGATAACCGCAATTATCCCTGGTCTGAAATCACCAAGAGATTTTAATAGTTTTTTACAGCCGCTTGTAGATGAATTAAAATGTCTTGAAGGTAAATTTCATTCCGTATAATAAGAATAAACTTATCATAAAAAAATCATATACAAGTTGCTTTCATTATAGTGAGGTAATCTATTTATTAACAAAAATTTTTTAATAATTCACTATATCAAAAGTTTTATTAGTAAATCCATCATTATTATTGTTCGTCATGGAACCTGTCCCTTCTATCGAATGAACGACTTCCATGGCCAACAAACCCTTTGTCTAAT